TGAAAATTTATTTTCATCTCTAATTATAAAAATTTAAAGTTAAAAAAAAAATAGTGTAAATCAAGCATATCTATGAATGATTGAAAATCTTGAAAATTGATATTCTAGAAATGCATTACAAGATGCACTATTTCAAAACTTGAAATCCATTTTTTTTCATGCTAATGCATCTTGAGGTCGAGATGATCAATTTGAAGATATTTGGGCATGGGAGAGAGACATACGCTAAATAGGATATACGAGGTCTGGGTTTTAGATTTTTACCAGGGAAAGGGGAGTAAATTGTGGGTAGAGAGAGTGTCGTATGGGTTGGGCATGAGAAGGAGTCCAATGATTATCAACTTTTGGTGCAAGGTTTATCAATCATACTTGACTGGATAAGCTAAGCTACTTTGGATCAGTTTAGTTTGATTGAGGATAAAGAAGAAGAAAACGTAGAAGAGGAGAAAGGGGAGAAGGACATGGAAAGGGCGTAGAAAGAAAAACTCTCAAGATACCTTATAAAGTATACATGATTAGGGTTCTTGGACATTTGACGAGGGTTCTCAAATTGACGGTGATGTAGGATTAGGGTTCTTGGACATTTGAGATGGCTTGACGAGGGGATATGTTTGACTTCATAGGGTTCAAAATCTGGTGGATTCATAATACCCTATCGGCCAAGTTGATAGGTCTCCGGCAAAATTGCAGAAATCAGGTGGATTCATTGTTGAGAAATTGCGATTCAACAAGATTCCAACAATTGGCTTGGGGAAAGATGAAGTTCTTGACTCTGTAAGAAGAACTTCAAAGATGGTGGTGGGGTCTTTTTCACCACCATCTAATGACTATTTCGGCCTTGGTGACTGGGCTATGAGGGCTTGGAGTTTATCGTATGAGCCTGCGGTCAGGAAAATGTAGGACAACCGTTGTGTCTTTGATCTTAGCATCTTTTGATGATGTGTGGAAATCTATGCAGGTTCCAATAAGACGAGTTGGAGGTAAGCTCTTAACAATTAGAGTCTGGAGTTCTTTGGTCCATTCTTCCTTAATTCGATTTTTTTTTTATTAGATTAGACTGTTTGGTATCCCGTTTCATGCTTGGAATTTTGATATTTTTCAAAAGTTTGGGAATTTATGTGGGGAGTTTGTCAGTATGGACTGGATAGGTTTGAACAATGGGGATATGTCTTATGTTTGGATGAGAATTAAGAGGAATTCGTTCCTAATATCAAAGCCATTAGATTATTTGTTTTAGGAGATGAATTTTTAATTTGAGTTCAGATTGAAGGTTTAGAAATGGTATCAACGAGGCTGACAAAGTGAAACTGAGAGTGACTGAAAATGACTTTAGGGGTGATATGGAATTAGAGTGGCAAACTATACATAGAAAAGGTCAGAAAGAGGGAGAAGGTAAGGCCTTTGGGAAACAGGGTTATGGAGAAGCGTTGCAGAGAACAATGGTAACCAAGCTTCAAAGGTGGAATAGCTATACACGTGCTGGATGGAATAACGGTAATTTGAAAAGGAAGGTGGCATATGATGTGGCTCCCAAGTGTAAACAGATTTGGGTTCCGAAAAACAAGCAGGTCAAAGTGGGTGACAGTTATGTAAATTAAAAAAAGGATGACCAAGTAGCCCTTCAAAGACGTGAGGTGGGATCCACTAGCCAAAAAAAAGGTGGTAGAAGTGTTGACCAAGACAATAAAGACATTCAAGAGACAATTAATGGGGATATGGGGAAAGTTAATCATATTCCTAAGGGTGGCAGGGAGATCACCATTGGGGACATAGTTGCCCTTATCAGCCAAGTATCATATGGGGTTAACATTTATCCATTGCTTGAATTGGGGGGCTTGGTTAGCATTGGCTATTTAACCTCTAGTATAAGGGAGGTCTCTCGATGTATTAAAGGAAAAGAACCTGCTACTGGTAAACATGCCTTAGGAGGTAGGAAGATAGAGAGGACATTCTCTCTAGAGGAAGTGGTGGCTGTTTTGTTCTATCTATTCAAACTCCACAAGATTATTGCCACAGTGCTTGCGGCTGCCTGGTGGAGGAGGGCGGAAAGGTTCTTGCCTTTTGGTAAGGCTGCTCGAAGGAGGTTGATACGGGGTCCGAGGGTTATAACCGAAGACCAAGGCCTGCAGATCATGGTCATCGAAGAAGGGGTAGGCGATGACATTGTACCAATTCAAATGCTTCCGACCGCTAAGTCCTTTGCCTTCTCTTCAGGGGTGGAGGACAGTGACCTGGAAGACGAAGTTAAGCTTCCGCCGTCTCCAATGCCTTTGGGGCTGAGTAAGCGCAAGCTTTTGCCTCCATTGCTGAGGGGGGCAGTTGTAGAGAAAGATCAAGAAGATGAAGATATGCTTTCTATTATGGATGGCGATGGGGCAGGTGGTGAAGTTGTTGGTGAGGGAGCTACTGGTGATGATTTGGCAGAGGTGCAACCACTGTTAATAGATGGGAAGATCGTAGAGGGTGGAAACTTAGAGGGTGTTGTTGATGTTGAAGTAGGGGTTAATGGGCAGGGTGTTCCAATTGGGGTACTTGATGATAATTTGGAGGAAATATCTACAATGTGGGATGATATTGAACTGGGGTCAAATATCCCCATTGCTCAGGTTTTAGAAGGGATTAAAGAGAGGGTTAAGAAGGTTAAAGAGAGCTGTAAACAAACAGCTGAGATGGGTGTGAGCAAGAAAGCTACTGATGTGGGGGAAGTCTTGTCTGGTTGTGGACAGACAGTTACAACTTCGACTAAGTTCTCGCTTTGGTTGGTGGCCAGGTGTGAACCTCAGCCTAAGAAGCTTGCTATTGCTGATAATGAGAGAAGTAAAGATGCCATTGAGGAGATTGAGTCCAGGTCTTCCTCCACTATTTTGATGGTGGTCTTGGTTTGGCCAGGATAGGGTCCTCATCACGTTTTAATGAAGATCTGTAGTTAGAATATTAGAGGTTTTGGTAGTATGAGGAGAAAACGTGAAATCCTGCTTTTGGTCAGGTCCTTGAAGCTTAAAGTTTTGTTGTTGCAGGAAACTAAATTGTCAAGACCAATAATTAATACCAGTGATTGAAAACTCATCGAGTCAGGACGGAATAAAACCGATTCGACCCAAGAATTGATCATCCCGTGTCGATTCTCACATATAACCGGATATCGGGCATGTCTAGAGATGAATCGATTGAAAACTCATCGAGTCAGGACGGAATAAAACCGATTCGACCCAAGAATTGATCATCCCGTGTCGATTCTCACATATAACCGGATATCGGGCATGTCTAAAGATGAATCGACCCAAGAATTGATCATCCCGTGTCGATTCTCACATATAACCGGATATCGGGCATGTCTAAAGATGAATCGACGAACGGCAATTCGACGGATCACAACAGTAACCCAGGTGATTTCAACCGATAACGGTAAGTCTAAAATGTTTTTTAGAATTGGGAGTATATGTATTTGTTGTCCATGATCAACACGTCGTGACATGTCACTCGAAAGGTGATGCACTACCATGTCACGCACAGACAACAACATGAGGTACACTTCACAAGCCTGTACACAAGCTTATGTTTATCTGTACTTGCCACAAACCATTTATGCCACGCATTTCTTCCATACGGCTTCGATGTGGGATATTTCCCATCAAGGGGCATTCGAAATCATGGAATGGGTCACCATAGGGTTATTGAATAACTATTATTCTAATAAAGTTTACCTAATTGTGTGGTCCGTGAGGGTGAACTTTAGTCAACTAAAGTGATCCTTCATCAATTTTGTTGACTTTTACGCGTAGTCGATGTCCACAAAAATAGTAATTTACAAAAATTAACATAATTATATGAAATTGTTGTTAGTTTATGTTAATAACTTAAATATAATTATGTTAAATTTATGTAATATAATTATTTTTATATACATTAAAATTATTTTTAAATGTATAGAAGCTTTTTCTAATATTTTTTAATTATTTTGATGTAATATTATAATACTATACTATAATTAATACTTATAATACTATATTATAATGCTATATTATAATTAAAAAATGGATCGGTACCCCGGATCGAGCACCCAAAAAACCCATCATTTTCTTATTTTTCTTATCAGACAAAAAAATAAAGAGAAAGTTACGTAAAAATCTATAATACTTTGCGTTATTACAGATATACCAAATACTTTCGGTTATTACAGTTGTGTCCATTTTTTATCTTCTATAACGCTACTTTTTAAAAAAAGACCACTTTACCCTTTTTCGGATGTTGAACATCTGAATATGTGGGTTTTTCGGATGTTCAACATCCGAAAATGGGCGCAAGTTAAAACATTCAATTTGGTATTTTCAGATGTTCAACATCCGAATTTATGGGATTTCGGGTGTTGAACATTCGAAAATAGCCGGGTAGATAAAAATTTCATATCTTCATTTTCGATTGTTGGACAACCGAAAATATATTGAATTCGGTTGTTCAACAAACGAAAATTTTCACGCTAAATTTTCTAGCTCATGGCAGAAAGTTTATTTTTTTATTTTTATAAAGTTGGGAAAAATAGACAAATACAGTATCTTTCGCGCATCATACCCCTTGTAGTGTTCCCTAATACAGTAACCCACAAAGTTGAAGTGATTGACTCACTATTTGGATGTGATTGGTACCGTTCATATTCTTGCCTTATACTGTTGATTAATTTATGTTTATTTTCAGATATTTTATACTATGTTATATTTTCTCATTAATATTTGTTGTGTATTATTGATTAATAAATAACATTTGTTTAATATTGATGAAGTTGTTTGTTTTATATAATTATTTGTTATTTGTATTATGTTGATACATTGTATTCCTTGTTTTGGCTAAATATTGTTTAACTTGTTTGTTTGTATTAAAATTTGTTGTTTATTTGAGTATTTGTTGTTTTCTTTTGTTTATTGTTTACTAGGCACATTTTAGTAGTACACTATTTCAATCTATTATGCAATACTTAGATTTTAAAATTGATAGAAATATCCAAATTTTTGGTATTTCTTATTGTATTGATTTTTTGTAACACAAATTTTGCTACTCATTTTATACAATAGCATTGATGATGGCTACCGAGGGAGTGCAACTGGTATTCCAATATCGGGGATCATTTGAGACGAATGCAAATGACGGACGTGTTATTTATAAAGGGGAAAAATTGAAGGTCACCAAATATAATGGAAATAGTTCCTTTTAGGAACTAAAAAGTCATTTTGGTAATTTAACCAAGTGTGATCCAAACAAATTTGCTATTAAGTACCACAACACAAATCTATCTAGTGGGTTTGATTTGATTGATATAAATGATGATATATATGTATCTTTTATGTTGGGAGGGGAATCTTCGAGAATTGTAGTATATATTGCTGCTAAAATGGAGCCACAACAGGAATCTGTTGCTGATGGCCCATCTTCAAGGAGTAGGTATATCTACTATTTATTTTTTCATCTATAAATTGGTTTATTTTAGTCTTATATGTGCATAAATTGTTGCTTCATCTTACACTCTATCTTTTGTCAACAGTCGGCGTAACGCTTACCTGATCAAGATCAAAACATTCAAGTGGCGCCCAACCTTGAGGTTGTACTAGGGCGTGATATAGAGGATATTGAACCACTAGAGAGTCAATGTAGAGGAGTTGGTAGCGAGGTTCAATTAATTGTTGGGCAATTTTTTGAAAATGTTAATGAATTCCGACATCATCTAGTTAGTTTTACAAACCACAGTAATTCTATTCTAAAGTTTGACAAAAGTGAATTGGGATGGGTGTGAGAAAATTGCAAGGAAGAGGGATGTACATGGCAAGTGCGGTGCATACGAGTTGGTAGTGTCGCGTACTTTAAAGTGAAGTCTATGGTTAAGGAGCACACATGTAGTGGCCCAATGGGAAGGGTCCATCAGCCACTAGCTTGTAGTGATTGGGTGGCAAAAAAGATTAAAGGCCGCCTTATTGACTAACCAAAAATTAAAGCAAAAGGCATCGTAAAGGATGTCCAACGTGATCACGAGGTTAGACTTTCCTACATGCAAGCTTAGCAGGAAAAAAAAGTTGCTAGAAAGATGATAGATGGTATTGTTTCTTAAGTATGTTGAGTGAGATATTGAATGAGTATCCTAATTTGCCTGCCTTAACAATTATATCAGATCGCCCAAAAATCCTGTTAGAAGCAATAGAGAAATGCTTTCCCACATGTTTTCCATCATTCTGCATGCGACATATGGGAGAGAACTTCAAGGGCTTTATGAAGAGGTCAGCAAATACTGAAGTATTGCTGATGCTGTTTTGGAAGGCTGCCTGTAAAGTGACCATTGGTGGGTTTGAAAAAGTAATGTTTGATATACAGTGTGCTGACCCAGAAGCATATGAGTGGATTAAGAATATTCCCCCCAAATTTTGGGCAAATACCTATTTTCCAAGGTCTAGATACAATCATTTTACCTCTAACATGGCCGAGTCTTTCAACGTTTGGATTTTATCTGCTCAAGAGAAGCCGATCATTACAATTTGTGAAGAAATAATGGTACAGTTGATGACCAGATTTGAAGAGAAGATGGTGGTATGTAATACTTGGAATGACATGCTAGTACCGAAGGTCTAAGAATTACTCGACTTGCGAAAGATGAAGGCTTGATTTTTACACATAGTTATATCTGCCATGGACACGTAGTTTGAGATCCGTTATCTTGGGAAGTACGCTATCATTTTAATGCATTGGACGTGCAGTTGTAGAAAATGGAAACTCAGTGGCATTCCATGTGTTCATGCCATTGCGGCTATTAACCATATGCATTTGGATCCCACAACATACTGCCTTTAAGTATTTCACAGTGGAATACTTTAAAATGGCCTTTCAAACTCCCTTTGGGCCTGTCCCAGATGATATTTAGTTGACAGGTATGTTCGACAGGACAGTGTTGCCACCAAGGACTACATGCCTTCCCGGAAGGCCAAAGAAGCAATGAAGAATATCCGGGACAGAACAGCCGATCACCAAGCCTTTGAAGTGCAAACGATACGGCGCAGTTGGTCATAATAGGAGGACATGCAGAGAACCGATAGAGTGAATTACTTATTGTCAATATTGCGTTTTCATATCGGATTATGAATTTCATGAATTAATGAATGGAGTGAATTCGATGTTCTCAATATTGTGTTGTACTTGGTGTTAGTGCGATTAGAATTCTGTGTTATCATAAATCTTCCAATGGAGAATTTGGAGCCCCTCTTGAAACTATTATGAGTTTGGCATTTTGAAAGCTACTTTAGATTGCAAATAGGCTATGTTAATTTGTAAAGGCTTCATTCAAAAATGAAAAAGTTGCATATAGATGAGAAATGCAGAGCATTCGTTGCCATACGACTACTGTGCTAAACAATAAGTTAGTGTCCTCAAAAAAAAAAAAAAGTAGACTCCCTGGAACTTGATTATTTTAAGTAATTTACATCAAAAGATGAATTGACTTTGTTCAATTTTTTGCTTTACATTTACAATTGTACATCAGCCCTCTAGTTTGTATATGACTGACATGTTTGCAAATGACTAAACAATAAAAGAAAATTGGTTTTTGCAACTTATAAGTGATATTTCACATGCTGCTTAAGGAATGACATTTTCGGATGTTGGACATCCAAAAAAATCATTTTCGGATGTCCAACATCCGAAATATTGACATTTTCGGATGTTCAATATCCAAAAATATCAATGCGAAAATCCAGAAACTTCCTGGATTTTTGCAGTGGTATTTTCAGATGTTTAACATCACGAAATATCAATTTTTCAGATGTGGGACATCCGAAATCATTTTCGGATGTCCAACATCCGAAAATGTCAATTTTTCGGATGTTGGACATATCAAATTTTCGGATGTGGGACATCTGAAAATGATTTCGAATGTGGGATTTCCAAAAATGATTTCGGATGTTGGACATTCGAAATATTGATATTTTCGGATGTTCAATATCCGAAAATACCACTATAAAAACCAGGAAGGTCCTGGATTTTCGCAGCGACGTTTTCGGATGTTCAACATTCGAAAATGTATATTATCAAAAGGAATATAGAGCCTTGGCTTTAGAAAAATCAAATTAGAGCCTCCCTTAAAAATAACACTAGAAGAGGTAGTTTTGATGTCTACATATCCTCAAATTGATCATCTAGACATCAAGATGCATGGACATGAGAAAAAATTGGATTTCAAGTTTTTGAAATAGTGCATCTTATAACTCATTTTTGGACCTTCAATTTTCAAGATTTTCAAGTTTTCATAGATCTACTCGATCTACACTATTTTTTAAGCCTTAAATTTTATAGTAAAGATGAAAATTTATTTTAAGGCTATCACAAAGATTTCCAGTATTGAAATCATCTTTCTCGACACTATTTGAAGGTGCGCTTTACTTTGATTGTTTAGAGCCTTGGCTCTATACAAACTGCACCCATATCAAAAACCATGATTTGTTTTCCTAAGAGAATTATTCCTATGGGATTCTTTTAAAAGCAATGTTCCTTCTTGCTTGAAGATAAACTCATTTCTATTTGAAAATAAAGAGACTCAAAGTTTAAGGGATCATACCCTAAAGTGATACTATTTCCTAGTACGTGCCCAAATTTGTTAACTCGATTAATATGTATAGGCTTAAACGAAAGTAAAAAGACTTAAATGAAAGAATAAAGACTTAATCAAATTCTTCTTAACAAAAATCATTCAACAAATTGGGTGGGTCAAAATGACTCATACATTACAATGGTCAAAATGACCAAGTGTTCCAATAAGGTTCAAAACCCCATTACATTGGTTGCCTTCTCTGAGGCTGATACTGTTTCTTTCGTGTTTTATATCTTCTGCATTCCTCAACTTTAGGTTGTGTGGATGGAGCTAGGTCTTCTACAACTCGACTACTGTCACCCACTACATCATGCCCGGCCTCGTCAGGTACACCTTTGTCATTATATTCACGTTGTAAAATTTCCATCTTGGCTTCTATGTCATTTGTATCCACAGGTACAAATTTAGACAAAGTTTCAAACGTATTGTTAGCACGATTATAAATTTCAGCATACCACTTTTGTCTGAGTGTAAGTGCCTCTGCCAACATGATTGTAGATGCCTGAACTGTACTAACCTGCAAAAACAAGATAGGTAATTAATATATTTAAACAATTTCATGGAACTAATAGCTAAGTATAAGATTATAAGAAATTGTAGGTCAATATAAACATACTAACTGGTCCTCATAACCTCGAGGTCTCATTATATACTATGGTTCATGAGCAGGAACCACATCTTCTTCTTCTTGATTATGAGGTTGCAATATGTCTTTGGGTGGGTTAGCGATATTATGTATTATAGGATGGGACACTAGGTTGTACTAGACCTTGTACTCCTCTAAGGATAACCCATTGTCACTATCTTCTTCAATATCATGCATCATGCGATCATAGCGAGTCAATCAGTGTTGGATTTTGTCTGCATTCAAAGTTCGCCAATCTCGCTGTCCACCATGTCTGCTACACCTCTTACCAAGAACCAAGAGATTTCAAGGAATGCCTTGTTTAGCTCCAAATTGCCGACGTACACGATCTGGCATGTATGGCTCGGTAATATCGTCAAATATGAATGTCGTTATGCACATTGCAGTTTGATATGCGTCTTGTTTGTCATTTTAAATGACCCTATCAGGCTTGAAATATGGATTCTATATTACCTGTTATATGATATGCAATCAGTCAATAAAAATAATTACAAATACTTAAATACATTTGAAAGTAATCAATATCAAATTACACACTAACTTCATTAGGTTGGAAGTTATCAAATTCTTGACTGATGGGAGGGATTAGGTTATGTGGATTGCTATGATAATTCTTCGGTGGCTCCTATCTTTTGGCCCTAGGTATATTTGGAGAGATACTATGCGGTATGGGCCTCATATGCATAATATGCTTATACGACCAGTACTGCAATAAATTAAGATGTGATAAATATTAAATATTTTAAGAAAGCAGTCTAAACTATTACGCTTATGTCATATACAAAAAAAGCGTTACCTACATGAGAGTGGCTAAACCACTAAAGTGTCTTCACTTGAAAGTACAAGGTTTTCTAAGGGAGCGATAACGGAATGCAAGGGCTCCAGCACCCCAAGCATATCTGCTAGCTCCCACAATATCTTCAAAAAATTGCAAGTACCTTGTTGGCACTGTTGAAACTGATACATCAGCGAATATGGTGATGCTGATAAGGAAGAGAAGATATGCTCGAGTATATCTATAAACTTCAACAATGCTTGCATCAAGTGGCAATTCCCTAAAATTCGCCTTCCACCATGTATGCCTCAGGACTGACAGTATGCCATCAAGGACTATACCAAAATTGTCTTCTATATATTGTCGCAGGTCACTGATAGGATGACATGTAACTGACTCGTCATCCACAACCAGTCCTAATATCTCATATACATCAAATAACGTTGGTATCATCTCACCAATACGTATGTTGTAATAGAATGTATTGGTCTCAGAGTGCCACGTCTCTACATTGGCTGAGACCAAAGGATGATCAATTCGGCCTGGCCGAATAATAGATAGCGCACCCAACCCAGACGCGTTTACTAATTGAACTTGCTCTTCTGTTAGATGCCATTTGTTTAATTGATAAGTCTTCTCATCAATTCTAATTTCTTGTTTCTCCTGAAATACATCAAATAGACAACATATTAGTCCCAATACATATACATGTACTTCTCATAGAATGTTTGAACCTGACTACAATTTATTGAAAGATAACAAATTAATAGAAAGGGGAGATGAATATATGCATATACCTGTCCTTCCCATAAGAAATATGATGCATGTTCTGGATGAAGTTGCAGCAAACTAGGGTCTTGAGGACCTCATGGATATCCTCCACCAGGATGTAAACGATTCATATTCACTGAAATCCCATATGGTCACCATATTAATCACAATGTTACATATAAAGAAATTAACTGGATAACAAAAAAACAATACTGACATGTTGTTATTCAACAGAAAAATTGACCAATTATAGACTATAAACTGGTGCTATGGACCTAAACAAACCAGTACTGCTACATCAAAAGAACCTAGTGTTATTAAACCCAGTGTTATAGACATAGTGTTATAGACCATAACCTAATACTACTCTATCAAAAGAACATTATAATACAATGGAATTAATACCGAGACAGTAATACCTCATAATGCATTTGCATAAAGAATCAATGAAACAATGCTAAGTCACAAATCGAATGAGCTCTCAAATAAATCTAGTCATGGATTATTCTATCCTAAATATAATTCACATAAATTGCATACATTATTCAAATTAGATTTGGTGTGAAACATTTATGTGGAGAGATCCATATTTTGTAATGAAGATTGGGGGGGGGGGGAAAGGGGAAGCCCAGGTCAGAGTAAGTACATGGGCTTCAATGGCAAAGGCATGATACTCATGCATCAATAGAAAATACATAATGCTCCCCATGTTTCCAAGGTGCCAGAGAGTGAAACAAGAATCAAGGGATGAGGGTTTCCAGAGAGGGATTAAGGCTTGAGGATTTGTACTGGGAATGGATAGAGAGAGAGTCCGGATTTGCTCTACATTACTACATATTCTAATTGGATAATAAATTTAAGGGCTCACTTTCTTTATGCCTAACAGTTAGCATATGCAAAATAATTTTTATATGTAAACAGTGCCTTGTGCAAGAGCTTTCCAATCCTATTTTTCCCATGCTTGTTTCACATGTCAGGAATTCCTATGTACCCAGTTTTTTATGTTTGGTAATCCATTGGTAAACTATCCCCCAGAATCTGGATTAATACCTATTTTCAACCGTTTAATTGTATATATCAGGTTAACCATTTCACTTCAATTCTCCAATCTTTAGGGATGTTAGGTGTCTTACTATAAGCTTGCATTTCTCTTAAGAAGTTTTCTCCTTTTCATCAATTTCAAATTTTCCATAGCATTACCACTACACATCACATTTTGAGGCAACACAAACTCGATGAATAACCATTCAAAATAAGAGCAATAAGCATTCAAAAGAAGACATAAATTTCAAAAGAGGAGCAATAAGAATTCAAAAGAAAATCTAAGGACAAGACTAAAGAAA